GATAGGAAGGTTCCCAGCATTCTGTAGATGACCTCTCCACTCAATCCTCCCTCCCTGCCTTAAGACCTGGTTGGTGTAAGGGTTCTGATGAGCCTTTGGCTTATTTCTCGTCAGCAGCTGCCTTTTGCAGCAATCACATATAAGTTTGGCTTAAGCCAGGTGCTCGCTCCACCTTCCACTTTGGTGTTTGTTTTGTAGTTTTATAACTCTGACAATCAGCAGCTACTTCTCAATCCACATTGACTATGTAGATTTTTTAAAAGTGATGCCAGGTACGTAGGTAGCCAAAGTATAGAACTTGTCTGGTGATCTTCATCCTCGTTGCATTTTCTGGACAGCCACTCACAGATACAGTATGGGACGGCCCTTGGCCCTTTGACCCAGGCAGCTTTGTTGAGCCTGGTGTCAGTGAGTACATGTATTGTCCCCATTTCCTTCATGGCAAAGGTCATGGTCTCTGTGAGTGCCTGCGGACCTCACTTCTTGAAACCCACTGCACAGTTGTGCTTGGGAATGCTGATGGCATAATTGGGGCCATCCCCTCATTGGTGGCAGAATGGCCCTTCTTCTTGCCACCCTTCTTAGTGGGAGACACCCTGTTGGGTCCAAGTTGTAAAAGAAGCCATTTTGACTTTTAAAACTTTGTCCATTTCACTTGTCTGCTGAGATTACCTCTGTCCTTGAGGATTTATAAAAATTTTCACTTTCCTGTAATTTTCATATGGTTTAGGGAAAGGGAGAATATAGTATATGTACATGGGTAACATGACCACTAATGGAATTTTTTATTCTACATTTTACTTACATGCATGTTTTTATGTTGTGTTTGAATCTTTTCCCTCATATCTTCCCTCTCTCCATTTCCTCTGCTTCCACGCCCTTTGCCGCCAGTAACTGGTGTGTGAACCCCTGGTATACACCTGCCCACGTGTTCTGTGCTCATACAATCATAAACACATATGCAAATATTTGGGAGGTTCCTTCATCATTTATTTCCATAGAAAATAGGATCATACTATAAAAAATACTTTGTAACTTGTTTTCTTCACTCGTCGACATATCTTGAACATCATTCCAGAGCAACAGGTATCTATATAACTAATTCTCTTTAATATTTGCATAATATTCCATAGTAGATAGCAATCTCTTCAACCATTCCCAGTTCGGTGGGCATTTAGATTTAAATTTTATTCAGCCACTCTCTATTGATGAACATTTAATACCTTGGAAAAAGAGAGAACTTTTTCTAAAAAGAGAGCTCTTTTTTTAAAAGAGCTTTTTTAAAAGCTAGCATAAACCTAATTCTAAAACTTGATAAATCTTTTTTTTTTTTTTTTTTTTAGAGACAGTCTCACTTTGTCACCCTCAGTAGAGTGCTGTGGTGTCATATCTCACAGCAACCTCCAGCTCTTGGGCTTAGGCAATTCTCTTGCCTCAGCCTTCCAAGTAGCTGGGACTACAGGTGCCCACAACGCCCAGCTATTTTTTTGTTCTTGCAGTTTGGCCGGGGCCGGGTTCAAACTTGCCACCCTCAGTATATGGGGCCAGGTCCCTAGTCACTGAGCCACAGGCGCTGCCCAAAATTGATAAATCTTAAACAAAATGAAAAACCAGCTGGACGCAGTGGCACAGACCTGTAATCCAGCAACTCAGGAGACTGAGGCAGGAGGATTATTTGACCCCAGGAGTTCTGGGCTATAGTACACTCTGCTGATCAGATGTCCACACTAAGTTCTCATCAATATGGTGACCTTCCAGGAATTGAAAACTACCAGTTTGCCTAAAGAGGGGTAAACTGGCCCAGGTCAGAAGAAGAGTAGGTCAAAGCTCCCAAGGTGATCAGTAGTAGAATCACACCTGTGAATACTGCACTCCAGCCTGGGTAACACAGTGAGACCCTGGGTCCTATTAAAAAAAGAAAGAGGCTGGCTGCCTGTAACCCTCACAGTCTGGGAGGCTGAGGCAGGTGGATTGCTTAAACTCAGGAATTCAAGACCAGCTTAACCAAGAATGAGACCCCTGTCTCTACTAAAAATAGAAAAACTAGCTGGGTGTTGTGGTGGGTGCCTGTAGTCCAGCTACTTGGGAGGATGAGGCATGAGGGTTGCTTGAGCTCAAGAGTTTGAGGTTGCAAAATGAGCCCTTGAACAAATAAAATTAACTATCTTAGTGTTAAAAAAAAAAAAAGAGTTTGAGGTTTCTGTGAGCTATAGTGATGCCATAGCACTCAACCCCCAGGTGACAAAGTGAAATTCCATCTCAAAATTTAAAAAAAGAAAAATGGTAGAAAAACCATGGACCACCCTCACTTATGAAAATAGATGTAAGCAATTCCAAATAAAATATTGGCAAGTTTAATCTAGCAGAATCTCAAAAGAAGGATGCACCATAACCTAGTGGGATTTATTCTAAGAGTATAAAGTTGGTCCATTATCAGCAAATCTATCAACTTAATTTCATTATATCAATAAATTAAAGGAGAAAAACCTACAAAGTTATGTTAATAAATGCTGGAGAATTTTTGACAAGGTTCAGAACTGTTTTAATAAAAATTATTAACATGATAGTAATAAAAAAGACTTATATAGAACAAGAGCCATCAAAAACCAAGGCCAAAAACAATACTCCCTGGTGACACACTGAGCTGTTCCCATCAGTCACAGGAATTAGAGGAGCATACCTGCCATCACCATTGTCAGTTTCCTCCTGCTCTACAGCAAGACAAGAACCTTTCTGGGCAGCACCTGTGGATCAAAGGAGTAGGGCATTGGAGGTGGCGGGTTCAAACCCAGCCTGGCAAAAAAAAAAAAAGACAAAAACCTTTTATCTTACAGTGTTATTTTGAGCAACTACCAGTGGATTAGAGGGAATTATGCCAAGTGCAGTGTCAGTTTGCCTCTTCTAGAAGAGCTCCCCGTGTCAGGGTGCAGGAACCTGTTTCTTGCCCTCTGTGCCCCAATCCGGGGAGTTGCAAGTGGGAGGAGAACTGAGAGTGAATCTCCTTCCCATTCAGGAAATAGAGTGGCATTGGTTAAAGTGAGCAGAGGCAGCAGGGTGGATTTTGTTGCTGGACATGTGAGAAGCTCCTCACAGGGCTGCAGTGCTAGCCCAGGGGGAGCAGGGGAGAATTAACCTCCAGCAGCAGTAAGTTTGGACCCCCAGGGCTTATGAACCAGTGTCTCAGAGAGGTGGGGCACAGATGAATTAGCCTGCTTAGGATCAATCCTGGGGTGGGCTCAAGGATGTGAGAGAGGGAAGTGGTGCCAGCCCCAAACACAGACACCAAACCCCTCCGTTGGCCTTGAACTCGTGTTCCCAGTCTGCCTCAACATCTGACTTTCTGCCCCTAGAATGTGCTTGGCCCAGTTTGCCAATTACAGGACTGGAAACGTGGGAGTCTGAGTTCTGTCCTGGGCCTTCCCTTGCTACGCTGCCAAATATGAATGTATGGAAGCCACTCCTCATAATTATAGCTTCTATGTATTGAGCACTTGCTGTATGCCAAGCTTTGAGGACAGGGAGCCATAATTAAAGCAGCCGTTTGCCAGACACCAACTAAATGCTGTCTCATTTTACAAGCACTGAGATAGTTCTTTGGGCACTGCCACTAAAAAAATTGCTAGTAATTATTCTCTTCAGGCTTCTAGCAAGCTATCTGTTTAACAGTGCAGTACACTGTTATTTGATCGAATACATTCCCTTTGTAATTTTTTATAACACAGTTACATTAGAAGTAAAAAGTGAAAGGCTCTCTGCATGCATACCTATTCCCTGTCCCAAAATCTAATTTATATCATTTATTTGGGGGGTTTGTGTGTGTGTGACAGAGTTACTATGTCACTGTTGGTAGAGTGCTGTGGCACCACAGCTCACAGCAACCTCAAACTCTTGGGCTTAAGCGATTCTCTTGCCTCAGCCTCCTGAGTAGCTGGGACCACAGGCACCCGCCACAACGCCCAGCTATTTTTTTGGTTGCAGTTGTCGTTGTTTAGCAGACCCGGGCCAGGCTCCAACCTGCCATTGTTGGTGTATGTGGCTGGCGCTGAGCCACGCCTGGCTATTTTTAGATATAGGGTCTTGCTCATGCTCAGGCTGGTCTTGAACTCATGAGTTCAGGTGATATACCCACCTTGCCCTCCCAGACTGCTAGGATTTATAGGTGTGTTCCACCACGCTGGGCCCTTATATTTGTATCATTTAGTTCTCAACTACAGTGTAAAGTTGGTACAGTTTTACAGTTAAAGAAATTGAGGCTTGGTGAGGAGACTCAACCCCAGAGAGGGAGTGTGTGTGTGTGTTAAAGTAGGTCAGCAAAATAGGCCTAATGATTACATTTCCCTAATCATGTTTGTTGATGGGGCTTCCAGAATTGGCCCTCTGGATCTCCTCTGGGTTGGAAAATTAACACATCCAGGCCAAGTGGGAGGCAGTGTGCCTCAGTCTCCTCATATGTAAAATGGGGCTAAGGATCATACTTTATCCTAAGTGCGTCATGAGGATTTAGTGAAATGATAGAAATCACCCACAAGGGTCTATCACATTTCACTTGGGAGATTAGAAGGATTTAGTAAATTTTCCATACTGATTGTAATTTTTGCCCTGCTCCTCACACATACCTCTTGGAGCACTGTTACCCAGACCAAAAACTGGAAACCTCAAGAGATTTAGGGGCCCTTTTCCTTGGGTGCCCCAAAGAACCCTCTCAGTGTCTTTTAGAGTTGTAAGGTCCCCTTTAGAGTTGTAAGAGTTGTAAGTGACTCTTACGAGCCACTCATCAAATGCCAGTTCCATTTTGCCTGCTGCTCTACCACGCCACGTCCTATTTCCCTTAGACTGCTCAGAATGAGAAAAGTATAAGGGGAAGAGGCCTCCCCCAAAAAGTGAGAAGGGAGGGCCGTGCAAACATCATTCTTGACAATGAGCCAGGGAAGCACCTGGAACCTGGCCTGTGAATTGAAGTCCCTTCCCATCTGTAACTGCCACCTTCTTTGTTTCCACAGGAGCTGAACTGCACAGTCAAGAATAGTAAGTCTTTTTTTTTTTTTTTTTTTGCTTATTATCACCTCATTAATAAAGTGATAGCCCCACACTGACCTCTGGCAGAGCCCTGCCACAACCCTCAGGGTTTGGTCTTGGGTCATAACCAGCAGCAGCAGCAGGGATCCCGGGGAATCTGGGATGTGTGTGCACCTGCGCCTCCTTATGCAAAAGTCAGGAAATGAGGAACACAACTGTCATTTGGATTTTGAAAGTATTCTCTGGGGCACCCCAGCTTGCCATTGTAAAGCAAGAGACATCTGTGCTGTTGACTGTTTGCATTTTAATTCAAGGAGGAGGCACATATTTTAGGTGTCTCTGCTAATTAGAGACCCCCAATGTATAAAAATAAAGCCACTCTTATATGACCCCATCCCTCCTGTGGCCCATTTACCCTTACTGCTTCATTTCAAAACCAAATCAGCCCTGGATTATCTCTCCTAAAATTCCCTTTAGACTTACGAGCTTTGCAGTGGCCCCAGACATGCACTAGAAAAGAGGGAGCGAGGCGGTGAAGCTGAGGACCCCGCCAAGGTCACAGCTGGGAGGCCTCCAACCATTTATAGTCTAGCTCCCTGGACCCACGGCTGGGGCATCTTAGTCCTCAGATGCCAGTCTTTGCTGCTCTTTCCTGGCTCCCAGGTACCTGCCTGGATGACAGCTGGATCCACCCTCGAAACCTGACCCCTTCTTCCCCCAAATATGTCCAAGTCCAGCTGCACTTCGTACATACCCAACAAGGAGACCTGTTTCCCGTGGTTTACATCGAGTGGGCCCTGCAAACAGACGGTGAGTGGCCTGCCAGCTGGGCCCTGGGGGTGGGGTGGGGGTGGGGGTCTCCCTACCTCCAAGTTAGGCCACAGCCCAGAGCATCAGCTCCTTCATTCAGGGCCAGAATTAGGCTACCAGTCCTGTGCCCAGACACAAGGGCCCAAATGTAGTGCAGAAAGGATCCAACATTTCATGACTTAATACATTTTCCATGTTTTAGGTATTATGCAGGGACACCTTCTCATCATACCATCTTTCATGAAAGGCCTTCTTTCAGCCTAAAAGTTTTATCACCCTGAGGGGTGATAAAAAAGGCCAAGTGGTTAATTTTATGACAGCAGTACCAAAAATGTACTGGAAAAATGGTAACACATTTGCCAACCTGCTTTTTCCCTTAACTTAGGGGCCAGCACTTTTTAAAATATCTCCCAAACCTCTTCAGGGATAGGAAATTCGTATTACAGATTTGGGAAGATTGGGGTAAAGAAAGATTCGTGAACAGACATGGGGAAAGTTCTCACTGGAAGTCCCCAGCCAGAATGTTCCCTGCTGACCACAGCAACCTCTCTGGGATGGTGGTAATGGCTATGTTCCAAGCCTAGCTGCAGATTTACAGAGCCTTTGCTTCTGGTCCACGGTAAAGCATCACTTGCCCTTGCCCAGCTGGGAAGTAACTGTCTGCCAGGCGGGAGGCGGAGGCCCAAGAGGGAACTAAAAGGAAGGGGAAGTGGGGAGTTAGGTAAGATGGGGCTTACTCTTTAAGGAGGAGTAAGCAGAGCAGATAGGGAAGCAACACACCCGGTGGTTTGCCTTGGTTGATCCCATCTCTCTATCTCCTGTCCTCCCTCTGACCTTCAGCCAGTGTCCTGTACCTCGAGGGAGCAGAGTTATCCATCCTCCAGATGAACACCAATGAACGATTGTGTGTCAAGTTTGAGTTTCTGTCTAAACTGAGGCATCACCACAGACGGGTAAGAACACAGGTCCCAAGTAGATTGCATTCTTTTGATGACACTAGTGCAGACTTACTGTCCCCAAATTTGGGCCCTAATTTAAAGTGGTAATGACCCAAAGGTGCCACAAGAGTCTGAGGAATTGAAAATGGCTGGGGGTGAAGGCCATGGTCACAGTGGATGGCTGGCTGCCTCCAGGGCAGAGAGTTGTATCTGCTGTGAGCAGCAGACAGGCAGAGAGTGGCTTCCCTGCCATGCCCACCTCCGCTTTTTCTTCCCACTCTATCTAGTTATTCATTCTTAAAGGAATGAGAAGACACCTTCCCCAGCCCTACCTCCTGCCCTCTCTGTGTGTGACTTGGGTTAATCTGGGATCTACCTCCAGGAAGAAAAAACCGCCCAGGGCCAAGGCACTGCTGTGGGTGGGGCACACGTGAGTGAGCTCTCCCTCAGCCTAGTCTCACCCTGCTGCTCACAGCTGGGTTGGCAAAATGTTGACTGTTGGTTAGTTTGTTTAAAGCAATGATTCCCAGAGTGGGGTCTCCTGATCAGCAGCAGCAGCAGCACGACCTGGGGACTTATTACAAATGCATATTCTAGGTCCCCACTCCAGACATCCTGGACCAGAAACTCTGAAGGTGGGGCCCAGCAGTTGGTGTTTAACACCTTATCCACATGATTCTGATACAAGTTCAGTTTGAAAACTACCGGTTTAAATTCTGCATATGACCACTTTAAAAGTGCCCACAAGCATAAGACACAAAGAATCTCTCTCCAGTGCTAAGTTAGCAAACTTGACTGCTATGTGAATGGTGAGAACCAGGTACTTAGATTTACTCAGAAGGAAAGGACTCCCCAGGCCCCTCCACCAAAGTAATCAGAATGAGAGTTGGAGTCTGTGTCTATAATCTGTGACATTCAGAAAATAACTCAGCATACATTCTGTTATCTCTGGAGCCTGCAGGCCCAGAGGAGTGGGGAGATCTCTAGCTCACCTCTGCTCTTTTTCGCTTTGGAACATTCTCAAGAGATCCTTTCCCATTTAAGGAGGAATAATCATGTACCAAATGGCTTTTAACTCCTCCTGGGTGCCAGGCCTCCTGTAGCCCCAGGTCCTCTGGCCTGGCTCCCTCATACCCATTGTTCTAGAATTGGAGAGGGCTGACAGGATTTCCATTCCCCAGATTCTTTTACATTCGACACTATCTACTGAGGAGACCAGATCCAGGTTTTTGAAATAGGCAGAAAAGAGCAGAGAATACAAAGAACAAGGAAAACGATGCCCCTGGTTTGGGGTTTTGTTTTGTGGTGGTTGTGTTCTTGTTTTGAGTGACTGTTTGGTAGCTGGTGGGGTGGGGTTGTTTGGGCGCAGGTGAGTGAGAGAGGTGTGTGTAACTTGTCCAACTTCCCCTCCCTCCCTTCAGTGGCGTTTTACCTTCAGCCACTTTGTGGTAGACCCTGACCAGGAATATGAGGTGACCGTTCACCACCTGCCCAAGCCCATCCCTGATGGGGACCCAAACCACCAGTCCAGAAACATCCTCGTGCCTGGTAAGAGCATCCTCTCAAGACATCCCCTTCCCTGCTGGGCTCTGTGAGAAGGAAGTAGCAGGTGGCTTTAGACATCAGCTTTCCTGCTCAGAGCAACCAGATGCCAGGGCCTGGGAGTGCTGGACCAGAAGCAAAGGCTCTGTGAATTTGTGGCTAGGGTTGGAACACAGCCATTGCCACCATCCTAGAGAGGTTGCAGTGGTTAGCAGGGAAAACATTTGGGCTGGGGACTTCTACGGAGAACTTCCCCCATGCCCTGTTCATAAATCTTTCATTATAATGACTGCCACTGCCTATGGTACCCACAGAGCAAACAGAGGCAGGGGCCTGGGAGTTCTCTGGTGTGCAGATGCAGCCTCTACTCCCCAAAGGCAGAGCCCATTCTCTGTGGTCACAACAGCGGATCCCAGGAGTTTTATGGGAACCACAGTCCATCTGTCTAGAGAAGTACCCTTCCTGTTCAGAAAATGTCAGAAAGACAAGCCTCTCATGGAATAGTTGTATCCCTGCCCTCAGCTTGCTCCCAGCCTCTATCGCTTCATTCTTCTCTTTCTATCCACCTCCTGCCTGCGTCCATCTAACACCCGTCCCATGGGCGACACTCTCTCTTCTTCCCCACTAATCCACCCTGGCTGTGATTCCTGCCAGGTGTCTTCTCTCAGGCATCGTTTGGTATGTGCGTGCACCTGCTCTTTCTCTGTCCTCCCCAGGGTCTTAGCCTACATTTCTTAGTGTTCAAAGGCAGCTACATCCCGAACCCCTTGGGGACAAAGTCTGGGTCTGCTAACTATTGAGGTAATCTCTAGAACCTCACAAATTGCCTTATGTGTGGTAGGTGATCAGCAAATGCTTGTTAAGAATGGTGATGCTGGCTCGGTGCCCATAGCTCAGCAGTTAGGGTGCCAGCCACATGCACCAGGGCCAGTAGGTTCGAATCCAACCCAAGCCTACTAAACAGACAAACAAACAAAAAAATAGCTGGGTGTTGTGGCGGGCGCCTATAGTCCCAGCTACTAGGGAGGCTGAGGCAAGAGAATTGCTTGAGCCCAAGAGTTTGAGGTTGCTGTGAGCTGTGATGCCACGGCACTCTACTGAGGGCAACATAGTAAGACTCTCTATCTCAAAAAACAAAAAAAAGATGGTGATGCCCATCATCCATAGAACACCATGCACACAACGTGCATGCATACACACTTTTTACCCAGCTTTGTTTCTCTGCATGATGTTGTATGCTATTTATTTGCTTTTATTGGTCTGTCCTGTTGGAATGTAGTCTACAGAAGGCAGGGATTTTCTTTTTTTTTTTTTTTTTTTTTTTTTGAGATAGAGTCTCACTTTGTCACCCTCAGTAGACATACTTGGTAGAGTGCTGTGGTATCACAGCTTACAGCAACCCCAACCTCCAACTCCTGGGCTCAAGCGAGTCTCCTGCCTCCGCCTCCCAAGTAGCTGGGACCACAGGCGCCCGCCACAACGCCCGGCTATTTTTTGGTTGCAGCCGTCATTGTTGTTTGGTGGACCCAGGCTGGATTCGAACCCGCCACCTTAGGTGTACGTGGCTGGCGCCTTAGCCGGTTGAGCTATAGGCACCGAGCCGAAGGCAGGGATTTTCTTATTCACCAGTACCTAGAACAGTGCCTGGCAGACAGTATGTGCTCAGTAAGTATTTGTTGAATAAGCAGATCTCCCCAGTTCTCTCCCTTGTTCCTAAAATAGACTGACTCTGTTCCTGTCCCCCCATGGTAATTCGCACCTGCCAGGTGGCTTCTTTTTTTTTTTTTTTTTTTTTTTTGAGACAGAGCCTCAAGCTATCCCCCTGGGTAGAGTGCCGTGGCATCATAGCTCACAGCAACCTCCAACTCCTGGACTCAAACGAGTCTCCTGCCTCAGCTCCCAAGTAGCTGGGACCACAGGCGCCCGCCATAACACCCGGCTATTTTTTGGTTGCAGCCGTCATTGTTGTTTGGTGGACCCAGGCTGGATTCGAACCCGCCACCTTAGGTGTATGTGGCTGGCACCTTAGCCACTTGAGTCACAGGCGCCGAGCCTGGCTTCTTAAAGCAAAGTGCAAACATTGCAGGCAAGGCAGTTTGGAGATGGAAGATAGAGAAGCAGTGGGCCCCAAGGTGTGGTCCCTGGAGCAGCAGCATCAACAGATCACCTAGGAACTTGTTAGAAATGCAAACTCTCAGCACTCACCCAAACTTAAAAGGAAGGTTGATGGCGGTACACAGGGAGATCTGAGAGTCACTGCTTGGGGGACCGGGGTGCTTCTCAGCCTGTTTGAAGGCTGTGGTGACTCTAGAGAGAAGAAGCCTTAGGTGGCAAGAGGAGGAACCAGAGGAGACCAAGAATCTCTGGTCACCCACAGCAAGCCCGGGATGAGAGGAGGATGGGCCAGCCAGGCCAGCCCCTGATCCTGCAGGGCCCCTGGCCAGCCATCCAGACCTAGAGTTCTCTTTGAAGGGGCCACCTTCGAACAGGCTTCTGAAGGGGAGAGATCACTGTCCTGGTGTCAGAAGTCTGGAAGCACAGACTCCCTCAGGTGGAGGACTAAGGATTTCTTTCTCTGGGTCGCAGGCTGTCAAGACTCCAGGATGAAGGTCACCACCCCATGTGTGAACGCAGGTAAGTGTGGCTGGCTGGGGAGGCTTCCTCTGTGCACACGCACACGTGCCCTCCTCACCCTGACCTGCGTCTGTGCCCCGGCAGGCAGCCTGTGGGATCCCAACATCACTGTGGAGGCCTTGGAAGCCCAGCAGCTGCGTGTGAGCTTCACCCTGTGGGATGAGCCTGCGCAGTACCAGTTACTCCTGAGCAGCTTCCCGCACACGGGGGACCAAGTCTGCTTTGAGCACGTGAAGCACCTGCTCGCGGTACCTCTGCCGTCTCTGACCCCTCTGCACAGTTCAGGACCACCCCCCCAAGGCTTGAGTCACCTCTGCTGGTCCTGACAGGGCCATGCAGCCTGCACCTCAGAGCTCAGTTCTGGCTCAGTCAGAGGCCACCATGGGCCGCCTGGCCCTTTCTCCCCTGTTGGTGCACATTTGGCTGCAGAGGTCACCTTTTCCTGCTACCCTTATGGTCAGTGCTGTAGCTGATACAGAGTCAACCCTGCCCGTAACTCAGGCCTTTCTGTTCTTTCCTCCCTCACACTCTTCCCTATTCTCTTTTTGTTTTGCCAAGTTTATCCTACTTTATCCCAGAAAGGATTTAAAGGTTAAAAAAAAAAAAAAGAAATCTGGAAATTAAGACAAAGGGAAACGAAAAATAAGGAAATAAGATGAAGTCAGATTGCAGGAAGCATGTGTGATACTGGTCTGTACAGGTGCGGGGTGTGAACACGGATTTGTTCCCTGATTCCCAGCAGCCAAAGCAAAGAAGGAAACACCATTTACCAGGTGTGTTTGTGAGTTAGCAACAAATCAGTGGTCTTACAGAAATGGATTTTTTTTCCTAGAGCAGAAACCTGAAAGCCCATCTCCCTCTGGCCCTCCTAAGGAGTGGCATGGACAGCAGAGAGTTCTCGGCAGCTTCCTGGCACTGCCGCGGCAGGTTCCTAACCAGCCGGCCTTACATATCCTCTCTCTCTCTCCAGCCCAGACAGGAGGATTCCCACCAGCGAGCCAATATCACACTCACTGTACACAAGTCTAATTGGTGCTGCCACCACCGAGTGCAGGTGGGTGAGCGTGGTGGGGACAGTTATGGGGGCCATACTCTGGTGGGCAGTCCTGCCAGATGGGCAAAGGAGGAAGAGAAGGCAGCTGGTGGCCTCATGCTCACCCCAGGACAAAGAGGGTCCTTTGACACCTCTCACTGGTGGGAGATCTGGCCTAACAGCCACCTGGAGTTGCCTCAGAAGTCCCCCAGGGCCCATTCCTCTCAAATGGCCTCTTTTGGCAAGAGAGCACCATGGTCTCTGCAGCCCTCAGAGCCCTCCCTTCCCATCCCTTCTCTGCCTCCTCAGATCCAACCCTTCTTTAACACCTGTCTCAACGACTGCCTCCGACACTCCGCGATGCTTCACTGCCCAGCAGTCCCTGAGAATCTAGGTAGGAGGAACGTGGCTACCCTGGGCTATACTGGGGACAGAGTGGGTGAAATTCTGGGCTGAATCCTGACCTGGCTCTTAGGTGATGTGGTGGAGAGTTTGATTTAACTTAGAGCTCTTCATGCCCGAGCTGTGCAGGGGGGCTTTGCAGTGTCACCCCTCTGGGATTCCTGACTGTTGTTTGTTAGCTGTGCAACACTGGGTAGAGTACTTAACTTTTCTGATCCTCAACTTCCTTGACTGGATAACAGGATAGATATTACCACAGAGCTGTGTCTGTACACCACACCCTGAACAGAACACTTTTGACGCCCTCACAGATTGTGAGTGACAGCGCTGAGAGGTAGCAGCTCCCCTGACACCCACGCTCATAGAGGAGGAAACAGAGGCACAGGGGTATCAAAGAGTTGTCCAGGATCACCTGCCATGGGTGAGGCAGAGCCCTGGGCTCTGAGCTGAGGCCTGACATTCAGCCTCTCCTTCAAAAGCCATGCACCCCCTGCACAGGAGGCTATCACTATGCGTTGGTCATAACATAGCAGGTGTGGCACTGGGTGGGAAGAGAACCCTGGCTTCCCACAGAGGGAGAGACCTGTTCCTTAGACCAGCAGCTAAACGCAGCTGCTCATAAAGATGGTTTCATTAAGTTTAGCCTGAGGCCAGGCTCAGGGGCTTACTCCTATAATCCCAGCACTCTGAGGGGCCAAGGCAGGTGGATTCTCTGAGCTCACAAGTTTGACACCAGCCTGAGCAAGAGGGAGACCCTGTCTCTACTAAAAATAGAAAAACTAGCCAGTAATCATGGTGGGCACCTGTAGTCCCAGCTGCTTGGGAAGTTGAGGCAAGGAAAACTCTTGAACACAAGAGTTTGAGGTTGCCGTGTGCTATGATGGCACGACACTCTTCCCAGGGCGACAAAGTGAGACTGTCTAAATAAATAAAAGAAACTTTAAAAAAAACAAAGTTGGACCAGATGTAGAGTGGCTGGCATGGGGCGCTGAAGGATGTCAGTGATGCCCATAATTAATATTTCCCCATTTTCCCTTCTCTCCTGTCCTCATTGCAGGCTCCTTTGCAGGTAAGCTTGGCTGTCCTTCCCACAGAGCTGGAGGCCTTAGGAAACTTCCCCCAGGGGCCATAAGAGACATAAGAAGTCTCTACCTGCACTTGGCACCTGTAGCTCAGTGGCTAGGGTGCCGACCACATACACTAGGGCTGGTGGGTTTGAACCCAGCCTGGGCCTGCCAAACAACAATGGCAACTACAAAAAATAACTAAATAAATAGCTGGGCATTGTGCCAGTCGCCTGTAGTCCCAGCTACTTGGGAGGCTGAGGCAAGAGAATTGCTTAAGCCCAAGAGTTCAAGGTTGCTGTGAGCTGTGATATCACGGCACTCTACCAAGGGCGACATAGTGAGACTCTGTCTCAAAAAAAAAAAAAAGTTCCTACCTGGGCCTTGTATGGAGCCAGGCAGACAACACCAGTCCAGGGTGGGTGAGGCCATGGGCATGTGGCGTGTCCCAGTGCAAGCCAGAGAAGACAGACCTCAGAGACTGGGGAGCCCGGCAGAGCAGTGCCTGCTCCGTCACTCTCACTGTTCCATTTTTCACAGACTCTGTGCCCCTGTGGGTGTTCGGCTTCATCACAGGCATCTCCATCCTGCTGGTGGGCTCAGGCATCCTGCTGACCCTCTGCATGACTTGGCGGCTGACAGGTAAGGGGCAGGGCCCCTGGGGCTTTCACTTCTACACCCCTTTCCTTCCTGCATTCTGCCGTCTCCTCCCCCGACTCCAGTCTCAAGCTAGGCCTCTCTGGAAGCTTGTGTTCAGGCACCATCAACCTCAGATTGTCACCTCTCTTCTGCCTTGCCTCAGCCTCAGTTATCAAGAACCTAGAGCCTGGAGCCAGGCTGACCCAGGCTCAAATTACCGGCTCCACAGCTAACTGCTTGAGCAGATCATTCTCTGAGCCTCAGCTTTCTCTCTTGTAAAATGGAAATAGAAAAATAATGATACTTGCATCATGTAGCTATCGTAAAGATTAAGTGAAGCAATGCACATGAATCCTCAGCTTAGAACCAGGCACATGATGTTTGCACAATGTCTGTTAGCCCCAGTTATGCTTGTTAAAAACAGTGGGCTGGAAGAAGCTAGAATTTCCCTGCAGCGGGGGAATCAGCCAGGCAGGTGGAGCAGCCTGAACAGCCCCATCCTACAGCCTCAGTCTTAGATGTTTGGGGTCAGGGAAAACAGAGCGTGACAGAGAAGGCTGGGGCTTGAACCATAAATGACAGGAGTGGATCCCAGCCTCACTCACCAGCCTTTAGTCATAGGCCAGTTGCTTAACAAGACACAGATTTGGTTTTCTTTTCTGTAGAATGCAGTAATAGTGCTTCCCTCTCGGCTGGGGTGGGGGTTAATAAGTCCAACTCCTCCTCCCTCCTGCAGCCCTCTGCTGCTCAGTGCTAAGTGGGGAGAACATGTGTTGGCAACACAGCCCTTCTCTGTCCCTTCTTGATCCTGCAGGAACTCTTCAGTCTTCTGGGAAGCTGTTTCCACACTCATCAAGGCCTCCCAGAGGAGGCCTTAGTCATCGTTAGTTACTCTGTGATAGAAAGAAAGCCACTCAGGTGTGAGAAGACTCTGGGTGACTCCTCTGCAGAGGGCCACTGGGAGGCTCCAATAATATTTTGGCCAGTGCTTCATAAACATCTCTGTAGAGGTCAGGGGGCTTCTTGTTCCATTTCTACTGCTGAGTTTCTGACCATTTTCCAAAGTGCCCCCCTGCATGGGATGAAAGGAAGGAGAAGCCTCATTAGTTATCTGTCTTTTTTTTTTTTTTTTTAGACAGAGTCTCACTCTGTTGCCCTGGGTAGAGTGTCGATCCCAGTGTCATAATAACTCACAGCAAACTCTGTCTCTTGGGCTCAAGCGATCCTTCTTGCCTCAACCTCCTGCGTAGCTGGGACTATGGGTTCCCACCACCACGCCCAGTTAAATTTTCTATTTGAGGCTCGGCGCCTGTGGCTCAGGTGGCTAAGGTGCCAGCCACATACACCTAAGGTGGCAGGTTCGAATCCAGCCTAGGCCCACCAAACAACAATGATGGCTGCAACCAAAAAATAGCCGGGCGTTGTGGTGGGTGCCTGTGGTCCCAGCTACTTGGGAGGCGTAGGCAGGAGACTCAGTTGAGCCCAGAGTTGGAGGTTGCTGTGAGCTGTGAGGCCACGGCACTCTACCCAGGGTGACAGCTTGAGGCTCTGTCTCAAAAAAAAAAAAAAAAAATTTCTATTTGAGACCAGCCTCTTGCTCAGGCTGGTCAAACTCCTGAGCTTAGGTGATCTATCTGCCTCTGCCTCCCAGAGAACTAGGATGATGAGTGTGAACCACTGCACCCAGACTGACTGTCTTTTGACAGTTCTGGAAAAGGACCCAAGAGTGAGGGTTGGAATTAAGGTTTTAAACCCCTTCATTGGCCATCCATGGATTTTGGTCATCCCTGCTGTCACCAAGGAGTTAACTCCTGCACTGTC